GGCACCCCACTGGCATGCCATACTGGGACGCCGTGCCCTGGGCACAGCATTGCGCTGGGGCACCCCAGTGCTGGAGGGTGTCCCGGGCACCGCACCCCTGCGTGAGTACCGTGGGCATGGCACTCTGTTTGCAATCCCCTGGGTACAGCACGTCATGTGCATGGAGCCGGAGAGGGGTGGGTGATGCCGGGACAGCGCCGGGCTCTGTGTCACGGCACTGAAAGCGCCTGGGGTGGGGTGCCCCTGTGTTTGTGGGGCGGTACTCACCGGGGCATGGTGCGTAGCAGAGGGGCTGTGCGGTGTCCTGAGGGACATGGTGTGGGAGCGAGGGGGTCCCACGTGGCCCCCGCTGACACCTTGACGCTCTCCTCTCTCCCCACAGGCTGTACCTGGGAAATCCCATGGACCCTCCTGACATTTTAGGTGTGGACCCGAGTGCTGCCAGACCCACCCAGCTTCCAGGCAGGGCTAAAAGTGAGCAGCTTTTCCCCTTCCCCCTACCTGTCAGCTGCACAAAGACCCCTTCCCCGTGCCCTGCTGCCAGGGTGATGGGCTGGACCCTCTCCTTTCTGTCTCTCTGCTGCTACTTGCTTTTTGCAGACCTGGGGGGAGCTGGGGTGATGGGGCACATTGTCACTTGGCCATGTGCCATGACCAGCAGCGTGGGTGGCCGGTGGCTCTGCCTGGCTGGACTCTGCCCCGCTGCCCTTCGTCCGGGTCCCTCATCTCCTCCCAGCCTCCCGTGGCTGGGCTCCCCGCTACAGGGGAATCTCAGCTGCCACAAGGAGGGATCTCAGACGCTGTATGTGCGCCGCAGCCCCCCTAAACCTGCAGTCCTCCCTTGGGGGGGCTTCCTACCGGCATCCTCCCCATGCCCCACAAGTGACCAGGGACACGACAAAGCATGCAGCCTGCTAACGAGCGTCCCGGCTGCCATTTGCTCCGTGTGCTCACCCCGCACCTCCCCTCCTCTCGGGCTCTCTCTTCTCCTGCAGGGCAGCCGCCTCCGCGCCCGCCTCAGCCTACCGTCCTGCTCACCAGTAAGTCGGGCTTTTTTTCGGGTGCTGCTTCTTGCCTCCCTTCTTTTTTCTCTTAGCTCCTTTTGCCTCCTGTGCCCCCTGGGTACAGCCATGCACCTCTGGGTGATGGCATCTGCGGTGGGGACACAGATGCAGAGCTGGGTGGTCAGCCTGGGGCAGGGTGCTGGGGGGTGCCACAGGGTGAGGAAGGGCAGGGTACCTCGGCCCCCCCCAGCACCCTGCCCTGGTGTGCGTCGCTGTGCCCCAGGGGGGAGCAAAGGTGGG